AAATCAAAGTTGCTACTGAGCATGGACCTTATTGTTCGTTCTTATCAACATTCGCAAAGATGAATGGCTAGAGAATGTCCGAATATGCCCTCCATTAAATTTTCAAAGTGATCCGTTGTCTGGTTCACCAGAAACGTCTAATGTGCCATCCACCGTGAATCAGCCTGTATGAAACATGTATTGCAATTTTGTGTAATTTCAATGAAGACACCTCAATCTACTTTTGAAGGACCATTTCATTAACTACTCACTTTGTTTTTATAAAAAAAAGCTATTACTAATTAGTAACATCAACTTTAATTTAATAAAAACACTTTTTCCACGCCAAAACAAAATACTGGCTTTCAACGCGCGTTTCGTTATGTAAGTTACTATCATCAGGAGATGACTAGAACAAAGAGACTCAAAATTTACAGTTCTCCTACATGAACCAAAATACACCATCGGATTTGTCCAAATTTTCAAAAAATTGAATACGAAACTGCTCGTACACCTTAAATAAGTGTTTGTGATGCACTGTTTGGAACCTTTGGTGTAGTAATGAATATTACTGGAGTTTTTTCCCAACACCAAATCGTTACTTTTAACATCTCGACACGTTTCGATCACCAAGTGATCATCTTCAAAGAGGAAGATTAAACTGATCTTCCTCTATATGTTGACTAGGCGTAAACAAAGTAGAATGCATAATTTGAATAATACTTAATGTTAATGTTTAAACTCGTCTACCCATATAAAAATAATACAAAAAAAAATGTAACTTTCCAATAACTATTACAAATTCAGTCGACTTATTTTAGGTTTGATTTAAAATTTGAAATTCAGTATAAGCACTGCACTGTACACTTGCTAAGATCGGCCACGTATATTACCAACTTATCTCACAGATCAATTAACATATATTAGCAATATATTCTCATAGAATTTTTTTAAATGATTTTTATATGAACACAAATTTAAAAATTAAATCACTATTTAGTAAAGTGCTGTTTCTATTCATCAGTTCATCTTCAGATTTGAATGCATATAAATGCTGTGCATATATTCAAAAATGAGTTGCTGAATGTATTGAATTTTATATACCAAGTTAAAATATTAAATGTAACATTATTAGTATGCAACATTCAACTCATTATAACATATAGTTACTTAACACAGACAATTTAATCGTATTTACTTATAATTATTAACTTATTCTGATTCACTTCTGCCCTTAAAGGTCCCCTAATGTTAATTTTAAATGCTACTGAATTATTGCTAAACCAAGCAACTGGAAATTGTAGTAGAAAATGTATATGAATTGAGAGAAAAACAATATTCGGTTGTACACTTACATTTTGAATTCAGGATATTGCTTGTATCTGTTGAATTCTTCTTGCCACTCTTCTTCGGATCTGGGCATTTTTTCTCCCAACAATTTCCATGTCACCATTGACAATCCAGATTCTGTTAATCTTGTTACGCCGCCTATATGATTTACAAAAAATATCATTGAATACTTTTATTAGTTATTAATTTTGGTCTAAAATATTTTCATTTCCAGAAGTGACGAACTAATAAACAATAACAAGTGATATTTTATTTCGCATATTCTTCATAAACTTCTATTTGAACATTTGATGTGAGGGTTTATCAAAATAAAAATAAATATGAGTTGGTCAAATTCGTTTTATTCCATTCCACATTATAATTACAAATAAAATATCACAGCAACTGATAGATTTCAAGTTAACAATTATTCACTTAACAGTTTTTTTTATTACCTCATCTAACACCATACAAATACTAACCAATACAATATAATAGGTTGTTACTATACCTATAACAACAGCTACAAAAACCATTCCACTACAAGTTAGCAGCCAATAGCCAACTGCCTTCTGCCCCTTATTGGAAACATCTGAATTCAATCTTACTGCCACAGTTGCATTCTTACGCCAAAAGTTAACAAACTAGAAAAAAAGAGGAATTAGAAAATACAAAATATACTAATGACTTTCAAATAATCAAGGAAAAACAATATTAGGAATATTATACTAAGGTTCAGGGAAATTATGCAGTGATAACTTGAAAATGAATTTGTTTTGAAGAACACTGCATTGTAATATTTCACTTCATAATTCACAAAGCCTCTTCAGGTGTTTATCAGGCTTATCGTTACAGTCGAAGTAACACCTACCGAGGATAACAAATTAGTTTGTTGTCTGTGAATGAAGTCTTTGAAAGTTTTTGCCTGGCAAAAAATAACACCTTTTCTGCAATACAAAAGTATTGTTGATAAAGTCATTGCTGTTCACCACCCAGAAATGATATTCATGGCCTGCTTACCAAATACCAAATGGAAATACCATTCTGAAGGGACATTTTCACAAATAAATGTTCATAAGTCCGAAACTTGACTAGTTAGGTAAAAGTTAGTACAGTGACTCCAATTCCGAAATTTCGTCCAATAAACAGTCTTTCAACGCTTGAAAAAGTATTGGAACTGTCAGTATATGAACAACTAGTTACATACTTTAATGGAAATAATTTATTCATCGAAAATCAGTCTGGTTTTCGTAAGAATCACTCATGTGAAACAGCATTACAACTAACAGTCACAGAGTGAAAACAAGTATTGATAAGAAAGAATATATTGTTGCTATAATTCTAAATTTCAAGCGTGCCTTTGAAACAATTAATAGGAAAACTTTAATCAGTAAACTGAAATATTATGGTGTAACTGAAAAAGATTTAAACTGGTTAGATAGTTATCTTGAGCAAAGAACTCAAAGGACTAAAATTAGTGACGTAATGTCAGATTAAATTATAAATGACATAGGTGTACCACAAGGTGGTGTTTTGGGACCACTGCTGTTCATTATTTATATAAATGATATTAACTATGTACCTGGTTCACACCATATTAATTTATTTGCTGATGATACCCTTGTATATATGGAAAACTGTGATTTAAAAGAAGTTATATCTACAAGTGAATAAACTAAAATTGAATATCAATAAATCTAAAGCAATGATTGTTACAACAAATTCGAATCAAAGAAAGATTGATACTAACGACGTTAATATCAGCATATTCAATAATCAACTCACAATTGTAAATGAAATTAAGTAACTAGGATTCATTATAGACCATCAATTAAATTTGAATAAGCGTGCCGAATATATCATTAGAAAGATATGTAAGAAAATGTATTTTTTCTCTAGAATTTCAAAATCTTTATCAACCTTAGCTAGACTAACATGTTACAACTGCATAATAAGGCCACACTTTTGACTAATGTGCCACACTGATGTATCTTTTCAACCAAAATCAAATGGGACAGTTGCAGAAACTACAAAATCGAGGTATGAGAATCATTTTGAGATGCAACCAGTATACCCCTATTGAATCTATGTTGAATACTCTACAGTGGCAGCCGGTACATAAAAGACTGTATTATTTGAGCATTTTTATTTTCAAAATTACGAGTGGGATGCAACCAGCCTATCTTAGCAGATATTTAGTTCAAAATAGTGATATTCATTCATATAACACAAAAACATGTAATACATTTTATAGCTCCCGTGTGAAAGACACGCCAGATGAAGCCATTGTATGGTGAGACACGTGTTGCGTTTTTGTAAAACAATTTAGGGAAAATCTCACAATAAAGTGTTTTTGGAATACGTTAGTTATGGATTTTCATCAAGTATCGGCTGATTCCATCATATATATAATTTTATTCATTACAAGAGTTATTGACTTGATAAGTGGATTTTGGGACCTCTAGCTCGAAATGAACCATTGAATTCACTTTTATTGCCACTTTTCAAGCTGTATACAATAGCATTAACTGATTTTCAATACGTTTTGTCTTCAAAAAATAATGACCATTTTCACTTTTTTATATGCCTGGATCACTTTTTATATTTCAGCTTTTTTTGACAATTATTCCACTGATAGTTGCCATTTTTGACCTCCTTATCTTGGACACCCTGTATAATTGTTGTAGAAAGAAAAATAAAGTGTTATTAGTAATTTTCTATTCCTGAAAATCAAATTAATATTGTATTTATTCAAAAACGTGATTCTAAATTTGTTATCTCAATAATTTTAGCTAGAGTAGGTCTTGGCGATATTGAATGCAACGCAACTGATGACACTAACCAAGTTGGTATAACTAACATCAAGAAAAGTGTTCCAGTTCGGGCGTGAGTGAGCAGGATTTGAGTTCGGTTCATTCTTCGCCAGAGTATAAAAGTATTATAACCGACATTTTCAGGAGGTTATTTTTTCAGATTCGTTTTGCTTCAAAGATTCCAGTTCTACCTCTTAACCTCGCTCTTAACTAGTCTAAATCATTATAACTTATAATCACCTTGAAGTTTTTAGTTGGTCGTTTGAAAACTGATGACATGTATGTTCTTGATATTCCATTTTGTACCAGACTTCTTGATGAAATTCCCAAAAGTTGTTTACTTTGAGATATAAGTGAGGAATTTTTGCAATATCTTGATATATTCAACATTTCTCAGGAAAATTATCTGAAAAAGACAGATTCACAAAAAGTTATTTCATCACAACACACAGTAAATTACTCATATAGAATCGCACAACTGTTGATCATTGCAATTTGAAGTGTTACTACAAGATAAAATTATGATTATGTGATAATGTAGATTGTAAGGTTAAGTTGTTTCAATCAATCTAAACACATCAAAAGATAACTGATGGTTCAACATTATTGAATATAATTCAATATTTCTGCCGAAAATGGAAGATAAATCTAAAGTGAAAACTACTAAAATAGCAGACATTTTTGCGACCATGGAATATGGAGAAAATTTTGAAAATTTAAACAAAGCCATTGTAAGCATAATTATACTAAATGAAAGATAATTATTAATTTTCACAATAACCTATATTTTGAAGGAATGGTTTAAAAATAACGAAAATTCATTTTTCACTTATATTGAAAAAAGTAGCGAAGCTCCAGTGGGAACACCAACAAAACTGAATGATTGTGTTACTGGTGAAATTCTATACAAAATCTTTGTACCTGAGATTGACACTATAACAAACGTTTTGATGAAATGCAACGAAAAAACCAAATGGATTGATGTAAATTCTTTTCAGAGAACAAAGATACTAAAAAAGTAAGTTTTTTTAATATTTCCCAAGATTGCACAATGCTTTTATTAATTTTCAGACTGGCTTCAGAAATAGAGAAAAGTATTGAATTGTTTGCCCAAATAGAATGTATTTCTCGTGGAATTTTATCAAGAGATACCAAAAACAAAGCAGTGCCTTTACTAGCCCAATATTTTCATTATTACTCGGTTATTGCCTTCTCTTTTAAAGCCGATAATCCAAAGTGGAAACCAAAAGGTATTTTATTCTAACCTTGTCATATATATCTACGGGTTATCTTGTTTTCTAATTATTCTGTTTGCAGTTTTGTCAATCTTGCAAATAATTAAAATATTTTCAAACATTCGGTATGCTAATGAAAATCAAACTTTAATACTTTTTTCTTCAAATTTGCTTGTCTATTCCAGCCAGAAGCATATATTAAAGTGTATGCTATAGACAACAAACTTCTTGCTCCTTGCATGTACAATTTGCACTATATAACATAAGTCCTGTTCTGGCTCTCTGCCCGGACTGTTCCTAGCAGTCAGAAAACAGTCGCCCAACCGAATACTAAACATGATGTCCTGTAAACTTTTTCAGTCTCCAACTGACTCACTGATTTTGGACGATTCGGAGCAGTATAAACTAAGAACCAGAATAAATCTTGAAGAGTATTCATGTTCGCAGTTCGAACGATTATAGAACGGTTCAGAATAGTTATCCAGCTGATTTTAAAAGTAGACTCGCCCAAAACATTTCAAGTCTCCAACTGTGCGACTAAATTTGAAAGTTCCAAACCCGTTCAAATAGCAAACCTGAATACGGCTACCACAGAATATCGGAACTACAACGGCTGTCAACTTCTCTTTGAACGATAGACACATAAGGCTTATGCTTTGCCATTTATAATATGGATTTACTCACCCAATTGCGCCTGAATAAGAAGCAGCGGCCAATAAAGAAAGAATATGGATTTACTAATGGCTGCGTCCAAGACAAAAAAAGCGCTGCGTTGAAGGCAGCATTGAAGCACTTTGTGAATCAACTAAATGGTATATTTTGTCAGATGTTATATCATATTTAAAAAAATGGACGAAATATATACTCAAACCATTCTAGGGAGCAGTATGTCTCCAGTTTATTGTGATTTCATTATATTATTTCTTAACAATATGTCAATTTCCAAATTTTATTCATCCAGTGCCTGGATTTATCAATTACCCTCTACCAAAAATATATAGAAAATAACTTTTGTTTAATTTCTACTTGGATTTTCATTTGTTACGACCGCATTCGGTTTATTAAACCATTTTCAAGTAAACTGGAGTTTTGACAAATATCCTTGAATATACAGTCAATGTCCTTTTGGCACCTGCAATAGGTACCTGAAAAAATAAAAATGAATATGTTTTTCCGTTAACCAGCTGTCGCACCCCTAGGAACGACAACCCTCAGAAGTCGAAACTTGTGCGAGTCGAGGACTAACGAGTTATTACCTTTTAACGTGTGATTCCTAACACGGGTTGGACAGTAGCAAGTGAAGATCGATCGTTCAGACTAGGGCTTGAACCACCGACCAACATGACGGTCGATTTGAGTAAATGAACAAAGCACCCACGTTGATCCGATCGGTTACCAACCTAATTTTCAAATCGGATGAACTATCACATCGAAAGCCTATGTCTACTTTATTTCCAAATCGAAAAGAAAAAATCGGATGTCTTTTTTCTCTTTATTTCAAGTAACTTTTTTTTTGCAAAAAAACCAACAGTACGTAGGTATTTGCGGTAACTGAACCTCATTGAACTGGTTGTCCTATGGGATCCCCCAAATAGCTTATCACTAATTTGAATCTCATTTAATCAATAGAATGCAGTACATGATATTATGTTATATGTAGCAACTGCAAGGTCGGCAGTGTAAAATCGTACACATCTGATGTCATCGATAGCACCATTGAAGTTCCCCCATTAGGAAGCATTAGCATCCATGTTATTTTCTTTATATATTGCTGACATACCTACATGTTGGGATGTTCAGTAACACTCTAAAAAGACTACTTACTCATCATTGTTAATTTCAAAAGAAACGGAAGAAGTAACATTAAAATAGTTGCAACATATCCTTTGAAATGCGTAATGAGTAACTCTCAATCAGCTAAATCTTAATATAAAGGAAACAAATTTCCGGATGTTTTACACTATGCAACATCCAGAAGTATAATCTAATTTGTATCCTCCAAAAATTGTCCTACAACCACCCAACTATGGTCTCCCAAAGGAAGATATACTTTCTATAACACCACTCATGCTGCCATTTTTTTCAATTAGAACCGCCGGTAGCCAGGCGGTTCAACGTGGGTGCTTTATTCACTCACTTAAATTGACTGCCGTGTTGATCGGTGGTTCAAGCCCCAGTCTGAAGGTTGCATTTTCCTAAAAATTATACGTTTCAGGTATCGCTGTAGGAGTATTTTCAAATGATAATGCTTTGACAAATTTGGGTCTCTTTCTCGCTCCAGCCCTGGCCGCAGGTTATAATATTGTTCTTCAAGTGGGAACCAAACTGGCACCTGCTGCTTTTTTAATCAAAGATCTTGCTACATCAGTGGGGTGAGTAGTAATAAATGTAAAGTAGACCACAATTTTATGTTAATTTTCAGGATACCTGAGGATGCATTTCGTCTTGTACCATCTGACGACTGTGAACTTCTGCCGTATCTGAGTAGTGAAAAAGTTGCTGTACTTTCTTTGTTTGTTGATCTAAAGTCTCAGAAGTACCGAGGAATCAATAGCAGTGGTAAAAAAATTCTGCAGTGTATGTTTTTACAATAAGCATTATGTTGCCAATTCAAAAATATCAAAAATGTTTCAGTATCTTCTTACAAAACGCCTGTGATTGTTTTTGATAGTGCTGATCTGGATTCAGCGTGTGAAGGCGTAATAGCATCAGCATGGGGATATCGAAGTTTGGTAGGTAAATGAATTTTTGTTGAACAAAAGCCGCTCCTCTTAACTTTTGAATGGGACATATATCAAGGTCACACAAAGTTTTAATGAAAACCCATTTTTTTATTCAGATGAGTTTTTCAATACAACTTCCAAAACTGGTTTATTTTTGCGATTCGGATCATCATCTGCTAACAAACTATAAACATCATAATTTCAATAAAAAAGTCCATTCAAAACAATAATATTGACGCTTTTAAATGACAAGTAGTTTTGAAACCTCTGGCGTAAAATGAATCTATTAAAAACACTTTTCCCACACCAGAACAGAAATGTCTTTCGACACGTGTTTCGCTAACCAAATCAGCATTATCAAAAGATAATAATATGCTTTATTATCATAAGACATAATCTTGTAGACAAAGCTCGGGTAGTACATACTTAAAAAAATGCAAAACATACCAACTGAAATTAAAATAAAAATATAAATAGTGCATGGGTACAAACTATGTTAAAATGGGGGATATAAAAGATATGTATATATAAAAGAATGAAAGTCAAGTTTATAAAAGAGTAGACATAATAAGTAACACTTAAGAGCTCCTTAATAAGTAAAGATAAAAAATATGCGTAAGTCAGTTAAAAGCTATCGTTAAAATATTCATCCAAAGTATAATAGGGTCTATCAGATAGCAATTGTTTGACTAACTTCCTGAACTGGAAGTCATTTATATAGGCAGATCTTATGTCCATAGGCAAATGATTGTACATTTTTCCACCGTTGTAAAATATGGAGTCTCTGGTAATGTTTTTAGTTGGCACAGTGAGTTTCAGAGTGTGTATGCAGTTTCAGGTGTTATAATGGGAAGTGGATGCAGCAGAATTTAATATATGCTTATTTATTAAACACACAGATTCCAGTATAAATAATGCAATTCTTCAATTCTTTATAAATCACTCTAACTGCATAACAGCCAGAGGAGACTTTTCTAGTGAGTTGTTTAACATGATCCACAAATTTTAAATTCTGATCAATGAAGAAATTTAGTGTTATTTTTAGATTCCAGTGATCTGTCTTCAAAAAAAAGTTCTTTGATTGAGCATCTAAATGATAATAAATTTGTTTTAGTTAAGTTGAAAGATAAAATGTTTGAATAACACCAATCTATAACTTTTTTCAAGTCGGCAGATATTATTTTGTGCAACTCATAGGTGTGTTTATTATTCCAAAGTATGGTAGTGTCATTTGCAAATAAGGTGAACTTCCCAGAAATATTAAGTTTGGTGAAGTCATTAATATATAATAAGAAAAGAATGGAACTTAACATAGAACCATGTGGAACTCCAGAATAAATTTATCTTTTTTTGAAAGTTGAGTTGTTTTGACCATTTGTGTCCATTCCATTAGGTAGGAATCAAACCATTTGTGAGTTACTTCTGCATCCATAACGTTGGAGCTTTCTCAGCAGTATTTTGTGATCAATGTAGTCGAATGCCTTTGACAGGTCACAAAATACTACGACATTCTTTTCACCGACATTTATCTCAGAATAAACTTTATTCAGAAATGAGAAAATAGTATCGTGCGTATTTTTATTATTCTGAAAGCCGAATTGATTTTCACTGATGATGTTATGCTTATTTATGAATCCAAGTAGTCGTTTTTTAACTAGTTTTTCAATTATTTTTGCGATGGTTGGTATGAGAGATATAGGGCGGAGATTAGAGGGATCATCAGAATCTCCCGCCTTATGCAGAGGAATGACCAGAGAGGTTTTTAGAAAAAAGGGGAATGTGCCTGTTTGAAAGGATACATTTATCAGTGAAACCAGTACATTTAGGGCACTAGGAGGAAGGTTTTGTATTATTTTGATCGAAATGTTATTGTAGCCTGCACTATTTTTGTTTTTAATATCCATCATGATTTCAGTTAATTCATTAATGTTGGTGTCATACAGAGACATGTTCTCATCCACGCCCAAATTTTCTAGATGTACTAATGGATCATAAGGGCTAGCAATATTTTTACTCATATTTTCTACAGTAGAGCAGTAAAAGTCATTTATAGTATCAGGACTTAGGGTAATGTTACATTTTCGTTTTTTTGAGTTTTTTAAGTCATTTATAATTGACCAGGACTCTTTCATTGTAAAGTATTTCTTTTGTTCGCTTGATTGTCAATCTATAAACTCTACAGTAATTATTAAAGATGACGTCATGAAACTGTATTTTTGATCTGGTGTGGAAGAAGTGTTTTTAGAAGATACACCTTTAGCTGTTTTTGAGAGGGTACGTGAGATCTAAAGTGTACGTTATGCAACTGCAGTCTATTTCAGAACTTTAAGAGGGAATAAGAGGTACTTGCAAAGAATTAATCCCAGAAACAGTTTATAATGTAAGATATGAATTTACAAAATGTTTCATCATTGTCAGGAAGTAAATAGTGAACATTTATTGGGATGAACTAGAGTGGGTTTTAAATATAATTTTCTTTGAAATTATATTTGCAAATTTTCAAGATGAATAGCAAACAGCTATTTACTAACGAGTGGCTGATCTGATTTCCAAAATTAAGTGTCAGATAGAGAGTTGAAAATATCTTCTCATGTAAACTTTGTCCGACTTTGATATCTTGTTCGATTCGAAAGAAACATACTCCACACTATACTAACATGAAATCAAATTTCGTTTCTCAAACATAGGTACAGTTATTTATTTTATTTTTTTTCAGTTGCCCTGGTCCACAAACATGATTTTAGTCCAGGAAAACATTTTTCCAGTATTTCTGAACAAATTGAAGTCGAAATTGAAGTCATTGAAAATTGGCAATTCTGATGATAAAATGGTGGATATTGTTTGGGGTGGTGAGTCACGCTCGAGCAAGCTGTCAGCTTTGGTAGATTTGGCAGAGTCTCAAGGAGTAGAAATTTTCCAAACAGAAGAGAATTCTAACAAGTGGTGTCCAACATTATTCATAGGAGGAAGGGTTCAAATGAATAGGGTTTTAACTTCTGACTGTCAAGAAGCAGATGACGTTACTGTTTTAGCTTTCAGATCCATAGACGAAGCTGTCAATTTGGCAAATAATACAAGACAAGGCCTTGGGGCCTCGATTTGGTCAGAAAATGTTGGTGTTGTAAACGAGGTTGCTAGAAAACTGAAAGTAAGACAATTTGTAGACAATCATTTTTATCTCCAACTAGTTAAGTAATCTACGTGCATTTGAATAATTCATTTTTCACAAGTGTAAGACTTCGTATGGTTATCAATTTATCCATTCAATTCCCAGACTACTTCAAAAATTTGGAATGGTAGAGATAATATATCTCTTCCAAACTGATAATTCAATTCGAATAAGTCATACTCAAATGGGTAAAGAATGTCTATTATACAGTGCAATACTTTTTAATAAACAACTCTTCGAGAGGGTGTCTAATGATACCTTGTTTGATATATATATCCCGATTCTCTATCCAAACGTAGATAATTTTTTTGAAAATAAACCGGTCTTTCATGAGTAATCACCAGTTTTATATTATTTTTGAGAATTTGCAAATAGACGAAATAAAAAAAATATTAACAACTCACTCGCATATCTCAATAAATGTTTACCATTCACTACCTTGCAATGAATTTTTCATCCCTTTCAAAGAAAATACACTGAATTAATTAATTTTATTTGTTGAAGTTCAGTACATTTGAAAATTCTGAACGATGTTTCATAAAAAACTTCTCTAGCGATATTCAATATAATTGGAATTGAATTTTATCTTTATTTTCGTTCTGATTAAAAGTGAATTGAGAATGTATCCGTTTTTCTTCAGTGAATGGAGGTGATGATTGCTACTGTCACATTGAACATTAGCATTGTAATACAGCCAGATCTAAGTAGCAAGTAAGGAATCACCCATAGGACTTTAATATGCATTAAACAATTTCAGAGGTATTGCATAATATAATAGATATAACCTCATAAAATGGTTATATTTGCAAAAATACAAAATTCATGAGTTTCCTGAATATTTGTCAACTGTTTATTTTACAACAACTGAATATTATTATTTTAGGTTGGCAATGTTTGGGTAAATAGCAGTTATGGTTCTAGTACACCAGCTGTGGCAATATGTCCGGTGAAAGAGAGTGGCGTTGGATACTTTGGGGGAAAAGAAGGTTGATGAATTTTTTTTTTCTTTCATTTTTTGATCCATATATTGCAGGATTTTTGGAATATGTTGAACCTGAGATACAATCGGTCAATCCTGTTCGAAAGGCAAGTTCAAATGCAAGCATATCAGTTGCTAGTATTATAGAATCCGCTAGAAGGTCACAAGAGAACTGGAGCAAGGTACCAAAAATTGAAAAATCCAAGATATTTCAAGAATATGCTGAATATTTAGATAACCAAAAGAGCAATAAGTAAGTATATTGCGATTTATTATGTGAAATATGAAACATTCCATACATAGAATTTTAAAATGTAATATTTAGGTACTTATGAAAGTACTGTTTATATTCATATATACACTCAACGTGTTTCTGTGTATGTTAGAAACACTGAAAGTTGTTGAAGAGAGTATTTGATCCAAATTTTATACACACACGCGCACGCACACACACGCGCAAGCACACACACGCGCGCAAGCACGCACGCACACACACGCACGCACGCACACACACAAGAAAATTCTTGTAGCTTTCATCGTAATACTTAGAATCCTTCAGATGAAGTAAATTGAGAAAATGATATTTGATACTGAATAATGTCATCCCGGGTGGGCATCCATTCGTCTTTGACATTATCACAAAGCTTCGGCAAGATCACACTTGCCATATTCATGTGCTCTGCTTGGTAACTGATCTTGAAGGTTTCAAGTTGTAAAAAAAGATTAATACTTATGTTTATGATAATTTTTCCTAGAATAATTTGACTGTTGATTTAGTTAAGATTCAACTTGTAACTATGATGAAGTGGAATTCGACTTGTTCCATAATCATATGCATTATTGCATGACTCCGTGCAATAATTTTTTTCTTGATTTCCAGATCCAATTTATCTGATTGGATAGTGTCCACGATCGACGATATCTACGAGTCTCTGAAGGATTCATATCGAGAAACTCCAAACCTAACAAGTTCATATAACTTAAATACTCTAACAGAGCCCAGGGGGGTAGTTGCAATAGATATTTCGCAATCTGAGAATAGAAAATTGATTTTCACAGCTTTGTACCAAGGAAATGCTGTACTGCTTTTTAGTAAATCAACTTGTTCCTCAGAGTTTCTTACTAAGCTATGTTCCTTACTACCAAGAGGTGTATTCAGCATTGTGCCCTACAGTTTGGAAGCTGTGAAGAATATTTCTGTCAATAAATGTGTGAATGTTTATTTTGGAAATGACATAAATTCTGTTTTTGGATGTTTGCCTATTGCTGAATCTACAGTGTTCACGAAAGTATCTGACGAATGGAGTGATATCCACAGAAAAGTAACTGTTTTGAAAAATATCTGGACTGATATTGGAAAATCAAGTTCTTGTAATTTGGGTAACTATTGAAAATAAAGCAGAATGTGGATAGGTATCCTAAATAATTCATTTACTATCTTGACCTTTCCCTATTTCTTCCCATCACCATGAGTATATAAATATATATTCTACAGAATAGTTTATTCGAAATTTTCATAAACAAAGTTTATTGGAAATGGCTTATAAAATGTTTTTATATTACTGCTATCTAAGAATATGAATGCAATTGGAATTTTCGATTATTTCCAAGACTAATGAGTAAAATGTAAAATAAAAAATTTTCTCGATAGATATGAGAATTCAAAAAGCAAATACAATAAGTTATCTTGCATATGAGCACATCGCAGAACATTTTTTTATATCAGTAGATCAGGAGTTTTGGAAAACCAGGAAAATTTTGAAAATTGATGGAGTTACATTGAAATAGACCAGATAAAGTCTCCAAAGAATAAATTATTGATATTGAAACCATTATTATTGGAAATATTACGCATTGTTCCTATAAATAATATCAATGTTCATATAAAAGTAGTTGTTTTGGATAGTTTTTTTTTCTTCCAGTTTGACTCTGAAAATAATTTCTAAGTATGAATAAAGTATCTTGTAAAGAACTTATTTTCAACTTAATTGCTTACTTCCTTCAGAAGTTTCCCACATTTTTTTGTATAAAGATGGAGAAGTAAAAATCCAAAAAGCTTATTTTATAAAAATGAATCTCTTCTCAAAAATATACCCCTCTCAATTCATATTTACACACACCTCACAAAAAAAACGCTCATCATTATACACAGATGCTACAAAATTAGTTTTTATATTACAATTATCAAGTTTTTCCAGTAATTGATGTACTAATGCTATTGTTTCATACTGTGCTAAGAAATATATTATCCGAATGTCAGTTTAATGCATATTGAATTCTTTGCTATGGTATATAACAATATAATAAGTACATCAATTACTAGAGAACAGTTATATGAAAAACAGCTTGTACATGATGATAATCTAACCTGTTGTGAGGTGTGTGCATATAAAAATATAATAATAATTAAACATTTGATACATCACATAAGTTCATCTTGCATTTGCTCAGTTGTCTTGTGGTACTTGTCAAAATGGTGAGATTCCTTCAACAACTGTTACCGCTTTGGCGGACTCGCTTCATCATCTGGTCGAGCTGAAGCCCAAACAGAGTGGTGTATTTCAGGGCGATTTCCTCAGTTCCCTTCTTTACTACATCTCACTTTATGCCTCTGACGAAAAGGATTTCCATCAGTGGGGGAAAGGTATAAGCATGCTTTCAGTATAGAATTCTGGATAGACACATATTTAACAGTCCATATCAAAATAGGATATGCTTATTATGAAGATGTACAGCTGGTAGATGGAAGCATCCTGCACCATCTGGATGCCGGAGAAACATATTTTTCTTGTTCTATGTACTTATATAGGTTTTATCGGTCCATCAGTCCCACTATTAGATATTAGTCTGAAAAATATCAGACTTGGTACTCAGGACTGTGATTACGAAAATATATTTGACCAGTAGGATTTAACAAATCAATATGAATGGAACCTCAAGTAAAGAGGAAATATTTAGTATGTAGTGCCACAATTATCTGTGTTGGATCCAATTTTATTTTTTTTGCTGTTGATATTTACTACATATACCGATGAAAATTGGGACAATTTAAAACGTAATGCGAAAACAGATTTTAAAATTATCAGTGATTAGGCACAAATCTTTCTAACAATAATTTTTAGAAAACCACATATATTCCATTCTATCGTTGAATCTATGACTCGTCAATATTTGTCTCAATGAAAAAATAAGGTCAGTTGACTGTCTCAATTGTTTGGGAATAATGATTGACAAATATCTGAAACAATATATTGGAAAGAATTGTTTGGAGATTTACTTTGCCCTAATTCATTCACAATTCACTAGGATACTAGGAAGAAGCAGGGCACAAAATTTGTGTTGAAAAAGTCACTTCAGTGACTTATTATTCGAAAAGTATAGAAAATTGGGCATCAATCAATTGTATTTTCATATTTTTTACACACATTCAAAAACAGAAATAAAATTGATTCCCAAAACATGAAATAAAAAAAAATAAAAAAAATTTAAATGGAAAGAATTGATGGGCCCAGAAAATTATGAATATTCACTGCCTCATTTATATGATCCAACCCCATTATTAGGTAAGTGAAATAATCATGTTTATATAGGATAGCTGTAAAATACTGGAACAAATTTAAACTCTTAAATTGATTTGATTGTTGATTACCCTTACTACAAGTTGTTAACTTAATAGTTGTATTTATTTATTGTTTAAATAGATTGTGATTTGAGTTTTTATATATATTTTCGTAAACTTTAATATTTACTGGAGTGCATAGAAATGGGAAGTTTTTCACATTACGGCTCCTGTTTAATATGTGGAACAGTAATAATAACAAGAAAAGTAAGAAAATAAAGCTTTTTAACGTATATATATTTTTCACGAATATAAAAACTAATGCAATGGTTTACTTGACGATTTTAAAAAAATGTACAAGAAATAATGAATAATTTGGAATTGTTTTGTGGCTCCATTTCCAAAATATATACTCTAATTATCTGGTTTGCTGGAAAAATAAACAGGGTTTGCAACAATAACTCGTTTACAAGTTCTCATGCTCGTTCCGCTAGACTTTTTGGGAGAAACTGTATTTTCAGAGAATGTTACTTTTCTAGGCTGGTCCTTTTGTAACTTATTTGCTGTTGGATCCATATTTTCTGATAGGTTTTCTTTATCTTCATTTGTCTTGGTATCACTACTGACAGTTTTATTACTTTCTTCTTTATTATTCTCAAACACATCATCATTGCCTTCATTTACCTTTTCACTATTTCTCGTTTTTGTCATGCCTCTTTGAATGAATTCTGGGACTCGGAACTGGGTATCTCTCTGGGTGTCTCTTTCAGATCTTTGAAATTTTTCATATATCATTCTACTATCAGTTTTCCTCACTTCAAGATTGTTCATATCAGTAGTTTTTCTAAGTTCTTTTTTATCGCCGGTATTTCTTCTAGTTACATTATCAGATCTATTAAATGTTAATCTTTCGTTTTTGGAATTGTTTGGTTTTGCCTCAAAATTATCTACTTCTTCCTTATCTAGTGAAGACTCACTATTTATAGCATCTAACTGATGCTGTTTGGAAATAGCCTCCAATCTCCATTTCCTTTTCTCTTCATTGGCTTCTTTCAAAGAAGTGGATAGTAAAATTTGAGTTAATGATCTAGACGATATTTCATCTCTTAAATCTTCTATTTCTTTACTGAAAAAGAGGGAATATGGTTTGATACTTCAAGTTACTATATTGAAAGCTTCACTTACTTCTTATTATTCAACACTACTTGATAATATTGAATTTCTTCATAATTATTTTTTGATATGACTACTGGTTTAGATTCCAGATCTTTTTTGTACTTTTCTAAGAGATCTTCTAATGCTTTTATTCGATACCTGAAACAAATTGATTATTCTTCAACAACTTTTTAGAAGAGATTGCAAAAAGGCAGAGTTATTCCCAATTTATCTCAAATGAACTAGAACTAACTATAAAACCATTCAAGTTTGCAAGTAACACACTTTGAAAAAAGTATGTATTACCAGAATTGGGCATAATTATGATAACATAAATGATATCAGTGTGATTCATCCTTGCAAGGCTGATGCTTGAATTTTTTTCTTTACTCAATATTTTGGATACCAGAGGTATACATGGAAACTGGAAATGCAGATTCAAATTACATTTTTTCAGAAGTTATTCATAGATACAAAATGTAGCAATATATGTTTATTTTTCTAATGATGAAATATTTTATATTAATACAATTGGTGATGGTAATTTGTTTATGACTCAGTTATTCAACAGTACTACACAAAACAGACTTGATTGTCATATGCCACATCAAGCCGAACCGAGAATACCCGGATTAAAGCAACTGTGAACTCTGTACAGTAGTGTAGACAAAACTACAGTATAATGTTGGCATATGTTCCATAAATATGAGATAATAATAAAAAAAAGCAACAATCGGAGCACACTACACCTTAGAGTGGGGTATTTGAAGGTCTCCGTGCCCATCCCCCTGTATATATGTATACTGGAATGTACATAAAACGTTATGTTCAGGGATATAGTTATTTCTCTAATGTTTTCATCATATTTTGATTATGGCTATTCAATTTATATTCCTATGAGTTAAGAAAGTTTCGAATTGATTTTATTGATATATTTCACTTTCAAAATTTTTAAAAATTTCAAATTTTATTTTTCGTATCCCTTCCTAATATTCTGGGCATGAACTTTTTATAATAAATTTTCAAAATAAGTGAAAGGTCATTATCAATTTCCTCGATGAAATAATAAAGTTTCTAATTGTCAGGCTTTGAATCTATAGGAATCTAATGTCGGAATATTATTTTTCACCTCCTTACTAGGAAATAGAGAACATAACTTACTGCAATGACTTGACGACTTCATCTTCATCATCTGTTTTCTCTGAACTATCTGATTTCCATTTGTCTAACAGCCTCAGGTTTTCTAATTTCAATTGATGGATTGTATTAAGGTGTTGTGATCTCTCTTGTGACATAGTGGTGTAATCTGATTTCATTTTATTTATCGTTTCCTGCAGATACACCCTTCTACGATATCATGAATGATAAGTGAATTGAATTAGCATTTTCCACAGTATGTTCGGCAATGTGGTAGATGAAGAGACATGGATTAAAAATTTCATTTTGCGAATGAAAGTCATTTTTTTATAAACCTTTTTGATTGTTGAAGAAATATATGACAGTCGATGCAAAAAAATAAAATAGTTTAAGTATACTCCATAAAAGTAAAGTGCATTCATTTTAAAGTCTAGCAAAATGCAATAAAAAAAATGTTTATCGTCTGAAATATTGGTTTTCATTAAATTTGGATAGCAATTTTTTTTTCCATTAAAATACAATAAACAAATACATGATTATAATTTTACTTATATTTCATTAATCATTTAAACACAGCTACCCCATAAAGAAATAATTTTTTGGTTGGGCTCTAAAATATTCATAAGTACTCCACACTCCTATAGATGTTTCTTCTCCAGCTTGTGTTCTTCAATGATGTCTTTATTATTTAGCAGTGGATTGCTGTTTCGGGCATCCCCTCAACTGCATATCTGCCGAAGTGAAGTCAGGACTTTATAAGCCATAAAATTAGACAATTTTGAACAATTCATTTTTGCCTCCTATTTAAATTAAGTTTTTATTCCACCCTTGGAAAAGGGACAGGACATGTATCTTACTGAAAACACATGTTCCTTTGATAATCTGATGGTAGCTGTTATAAATATTCAGAAAAAAATAACGTATTCAAAAAACACACTTCAATGTGAGATTTGCACCGCAACACGTATAGCGGTTTTGTAAACTCTCAAGTGGAAATTCACATTGAAGTATATTTTTTGAATATGTTATAATGGATTTTAATCAAGTATCGGTCAGTTCTATCATATTCAAGAAAAAAAAATGTGCACCAAACATTCATTTTTTGGAAATACTGACATTGGGTACAAATTACAGTAGTTCCATTTGTTGAAAACATTGATTCATTTGAGGAACATTACAATTCCCTATTACCCCTATAACCACCTGAAATTTTACTCACTAACTACAATAAGAAATCTAACCTTTTGCCACCATCCCCCTCTTCAAATGTGTGGTTATAATGAGCTTTGTAGGGAATAATTGACAGAGAAAAATGTATTTAGGTTAGCAAACCAGGCGTAAAATAATCTACTCAAATAGTAGGTAGTTAAGTTTATCAGTCCTAAAATTATCATTTCGTTGTAGTGAAATGCGTCTTGAATAAAACTTATTCTGTACATTCTATAATTATTATCACAAATTATTCACTATGGTTTACCACTTTTTTTTTAAGATGGAGAATTAGAAAGACAAAACCTTCTTTTCCATTTGTAATTTGTCTATGCACATGCTTGCCTTCTGTAGATTTATCAATTGATTCAAACTGTCAACATTAAAATGAGTGAATTTTACTAGTCAGGACACAAAAATTAAAAAACAAGTTATATTGAGGAAAAATATTTGCTGAAATAACATTTTTGATGGTTTTCCTGTTTTTTTTTTAATAAACTAATATTATCAAGGAGGTACCTAATCAAGTTATAGAAAATCAAAGGTACACCTACCAAAAATTTCAAGTGAAATGTGAATTTAAAGCAAAAGTTGATGAAAATCAATATTTCAGATGTGATTTAAAACTATTTTCTTGAAAAGCATTTTCCTGAAAACAAGATACTCAAGGGTTAACTTTGCATGTTTTCTATGCGAAAAATTTTTATATTCATTTTTCTCTTCTTGTCTACCACATTGCTGGATTCACTGTGTATGCCTACCTGTCATCTACCTCAGCAAACAATGAATTTCCCTTACTTTTTTCATCCAGAGGTTGACTTTTGAGAGAGTCCAGCTCTGTCTGCAAACAAATTTTGTCATCATTCAACTTCTGAATTAAATTATTAGCCTCCAACAATTCTTCACGTTTACATTCAAGACTCTCTTTGAGATTCAATGATTCCATTCTGCACTCCTGCAATTCATGTCCATAAATTAAAAATTCTACTTTAATTATTCAAATACACCCACATCCAGAGTTTTTTGTAGTTCAAAATTATTATGCTGAAGTTCTTCCAAGTTGGCTACAAGTTCATCACGGTTTTCTGTGAAACCTTGGTTATCCTCTTTGAGTAAGAGAATCTCCTCAATTAACTGTGTGGTGTCTCCACTGAATGACATTGATGAATTCGTTTTCTTAACTGCCCCAAGTTCCACTTCAAGTGCAACATTTTTCTCTTCTAAATTTACTATAGCTGACTCCAACGTCTGAATCTGTTCATTATAATTTGATCTCAGGTTGCTAATAGTTTCTTCAAGATGTGAAATCATGTCTTGATATTTTTGTTTCTGGCGAATTTCATCAGATTGTAACATGTCAATTTCACTTTGAAATTCATGTTGTAAAGCTTCCTGTACCTTTAGTTGTCTTTTGCAGTCATATAATTCTTGGTTAGTTCGATCTAGTTCCTTTTTGATAATAAAGTAGTCTTTTTTCAAGTTATCAAAATCGTCGGATAAGATAGATTCATTTGCCATGATTCTATAATACTTATTTCCAACTTAACGGCTTTTCTTCAATTTTAAAATATATAAAAACAAAGCCCACACTTTTAAAACATAACTTTGATAGACGTTAGTATGAAATCAAATACAAAGAGGGAAAACTTCAAGTGTCAACAGTTGAAAAGTTGACTTCAGTGACAATAATAAAATTCAGACTGATTATTAAAGAGAAAACATTGACTCCAACAACTGATAAAAGATAAAGAAATTCATGTCCTGGCACATACGTCACTTGAACAAGTAACATCAGAATAAATGTCATGATGTTTTATGTGTTGCATATTTTCATGTGAAAATTTTTGAATTTGATTTGTCGCATGATGCTGTGACGCAGTGGCCAAGACGTGTGATTCTCAATGTAAAAGTTAAGTCATGCCCAGTCCATATTTTATCACGTTCATGGTTGATATTTATCTGCCATTTTTGTAAATATACAGCCATGTTTTGTGTAGTGAAAGAAGAAGACTGGAAGTACATTTATCAACCAGACTATTGTAGTCAAGATTGTCAAGATGTAAAATATTTAGTCAAAAACTCTCGACTTACGGCACTCACAATAAAGAAATAATAAAGAGATCCTATAATTTCTGTGAAAGCAAGTTTTTGGCTTTCTATTTCTTCATCTTCATACCAAAAAATGTGGTAATCTTCCAAAAAAAGGAAGAAATCAGTTAATTTCAAAATTTACTCCATACAAAGTTGTGTAGTTATGCAAAAAAGTTATTTTCAGACACAAACTGGAAGAAAAAACCTCCTCGAAAATGAAATTTTACCTCTTTCGTATCCTAAATCATGCAATCCCGTCAATGATATCTGACTAAATTCCATAGCGAATATTCCGAGTACAAATTGAATATGAAAAAAGTATTTTCGTATAATTCAATGTTCATATAAAAGTAATTGTTTTGAAAATATTTGTTCCATGAAATTAAATGTTCATATCGAAGTAGTTGTTTCAAGCGATTTCTTTTCAGTTTGTGTCTGAAAATTACTCCTTTGCCTGAAGTACACACCCATCACATTCGAATTTACATATGATAACTTGATACCAAATCATGTTATTTCCATGAACTAGAGAGGTTAGCAGCAAACACGGATGGTGTAAAATGCTGTTAAAACCAAATTTATTCGTCTGTCCAAGGTACATCTAATGTATCTCTGTGCTGAATTTCTTAATACATTAACAAAAGGAGTAAACTGTATCTGCATAAGATTTAGCAATGTAAGACTATCAGTAATTGTTAGTACACCATAGATAACGGATTGAACGAAAACAATAGATTCAGTGTACAGTAAAAAATTAATAGATCTAATAAATATATTTAACGACTATCGATGAAGAGGAAAGACTAGAAAAGACCATAACAGTTCGATAAAATCTGAACGCGTTTATTTCAGTTGTACATACTCTTGATAATTTCAGAATAGTAAATGCCTGAATCGATCGGAATCAGGGTTCATACAGAGGAACCCTAATCGGAATGAAATTAGTTTCATTTTGGTTCTGTAAATGTAACTGTTAGAGAACCTTTCCGAGTTGACATTGAATCAATGTATATATAGAACGCTACAGTTGTAGAACCAGTTCTCTAACAATTCTCACAGATCATAAACCACAACAGAAATATTTATGTTTCATAGGTGTTTTCTGGCGTTTAATCGAATTCAAGAGTGTATTCAAAAACGATTCGTAGTGACGTCATTAATGATAAGATTCGCCAGAATGGAATGATTCAATTTGTATCAGATGTCAAATTCAATAATAAAAACAAACTTGTCCGATTCAATTAGAATCGGATTTGTGAGAGTAATAATTTCTCAGCTTCATTTTGTAAATCCTTACTAAAAAGTTTTCAGCACTTCATAATCTATAACCATTAAAATAAAAGGTCAAATTACGTTTCAAAACCCTCACGATAGTCAGGGTAGTTAATACAGAATACGTTTCAAATCATAGTTGATGTGACGTTATCGTTTCAACGCCAGAATGAATATATTTGTAGCACAGACGAATACGTTTTAAATACATGAGCGTCAGAAAACACCTCAAGTGTTTCATAGTTTGTTTATTCTCTTTATAGTATAAAGAGTGCATTGTCAGTTTGTGATGTTTCAATAATGTCAGAACATAAAATCCTTACTAAAAAGTTTTCAGCACTTTATAATCTATAACCATCAAAATAAAGCAGAAACTGTCAATTGACTTAACGTAAAAGGTCGAATTACGTTTCAAAACCCTCACGATAGTCAGGGTAGTTAATACAGAATACGTTTCAAATCATAGTTGATGTGACGTCATCATTTCAACGCCAGAATGAATATATTTGTAGCACAGACGAATACGTTTTAAATACATGAGCGTCAGAAAACACCTCAAGTGTTTCATAGTTTGTTTATTCTCTTTATAGTATAAAGAGTGCATTGTCAGTTTGTGATGTTTCAATAATGTCAGAACATAAGTAAATACCCACTTTTGAGTTTTCACAGATCTTCCTGTAATGACAGTTTGATACATCAGTTTTTATAAATCTAAGCTTTCAAATAAATTTAATAAGAAATGTGGTATTGGGATCAGAAATGGTTTACGATTGTATCTCTTTTCGCTATCTCTTTATTAGCAGAATATTTTCTGTGAAAGTAGATATATATGTAGAAATGTGGCAGGTCTTCAACATCACTTTGATATTATTTTACACTAACGATGTTGCTTGTGTAGTTTGGGTCTCCAATCAAAAACGGATTGCGGTTTTTCATGAAGGTGAGCAACGGTATATTTTGAGCTTCACAGAGTATATCGAAAACAACTACCTACATACTTCTCCAATCAGTAGAAATGCAGTACTCATCTTCTCGACGCACGTTTCACCAACTAAGTTGGCGACTTCAAGAGATGAAGATAACTTCACGAAATTCAAAATTCCTTTTGAAGTTTCTGAGAAGCTTCTGCTTTTCCAGTAAAGTTATTGTGCCAAGTCATATTGCTATCCAATTCAAAATTATTATTCGGTGATGCGGACAGTGTCGTCGTGTCCTCTGACGATGGAATATGCATGATTCTGGTAATACATTCACCTTCTTCACCCTGTACTGGAAATTCCATAAGCACAGTCATATTCCTTTTGATATTTGGATAACTGATAAATCTCGTTTTGTATAATCGAAAATGATGAAAATTTGCACCACCCCCCCTATATAGCAACCCTGATGATTAAAAGATCACTATCACTGGGAATTTTTGGAAGCAACTGTGGCAAAACTGAAAAAGATAGGAAAACATTATTTTATAATAGCTGTAGTTGAAATGATGTACGTATACGTGGTTCCTATATATACTTCAGTAAATATATTTGTAAGCATATAATAATAGATAATATGTTATTTACTTTAAATCCAAATATGTATTTTATGGTTTGAATGATATGTTTATAATTCATATATTATTGAAATGACCTTCTGTAACAAGAAGGTCCCATGGTGTAATGGTTAGCACTCTGGACTCTGAATCCAGCGATCCGAGTTCAAATCTCGGTGGGACCTGTACTTTTTTTTTTCACGAAACGAATATTATACTTTTCTATTATTTCAAAAGTAACCATATATTCATACATAGAACCGCAGTATGAAAAATAAATTTCCTTTATCAAACTTAGTAATTTAAAAGTTGTTACTCCATAAATCTATATCCTATGTGTTTTGACTTGACCTAATTTTCACTGTTTAATTTCATTTGTTAAAGTTAAAATAATAATTTATCCCAATGACAATGATCCGCATTAACAGAAAAACTTTGCTTACACAACTTTCATAGTTTATCTCATCATAATGTTTTTTGCAATGTTAAACATCAGCCCGGGTAGCTCAGTCGGTAGAGCATTGGACTTTTAATCCAAGGGTCCAGGGTTCAAGTCCCTGCTCGGGCGGATTTTTTATAAACAGTTATAATCGAACTTAATTTTGAACGTTTCATTGATTCAGTTTGATACTAATACATCTCATGTTCCGGTCAATCAGCATATATCTACTTTCTTAAAACGTGAAAGAGAATCCAACGGATGATAATATTCTCACTGGTCCATCCAGTTGCCATAATCTTCTAGTCATGGTAATAGTACGTAGTAACACAAAGTCACGAACTGCCGCATTCTTTCTCATGTGAGCATTATACATTTATTTTTACTGAGAAGAAATTAAAACGAAAATCATTACAGGATGTTTTGCCAACAAAGTTTCTCAAGACATACCGATATGAAATAGTGAGTATACCTAGTAATATATTTTACATTTGTTCGAAATGGTTGTAATTGTATATTTAGTTCGATCATTATTTGTCAAATGAAAGTATACTTATTTAAATATTTTTCATCCTGGGAACAAGAAAATATCAGAACTCAGAGATAAAAAGAATATCATCACAATTTGATGCATTGCCAGGTCGTAGAACTCTGTGAAAATATTCAATTTTATATTCTAATAATGTTCTTAATAATATTTGTATATTTATCAATAAGTATCGTTGGAATTTTATCTACAATGTTTTCAAATTTCAGAGTTGGCAATTCCCAGTTTTTGTATATCACGTAGATTAATACACATTTGAGCAAAAACGACAAATACTATTATTTGATGAAGCTCATTTTTTATTTTTACGGAGTATTTTATGGAATCCCATCATTCTGAATATATGTATCATGTTAACGAAGTTTTTTTACAAACTTGATAGTTCAGGAACTATTTGAGAAAACATGTTTCTCTCTTGCATATTTGGGATACGAGAAAAATATAGAAAATTGTTCTAAATGGATTTTTTGAAAAAAAGCCATTTTTGTTCATTTCAGGAAATAATCAAGAAAAATGGATAAATCTATGAATTGTCTCTGAATATTTTCTCTACATAGTTGTAGAAAACAGCCCAAGTTAAATCATATAAAATCGAGTTGAAATGAATAATATTCAATCTACGTTTCGTCATAATATGTCATTTCATAAATCTGTATAGTTTTGAACAACATTTGATCAAGTAAATTCAGATCACGACTTCGAGTAGGTATCACGTTTGCTCGTAGTATATACAACATTATAACATTGCAATGAAGTTACCTATTTCGACACAATAATTGAACTCATCAACATTCATGTATCTCATTCCTGATAAGTGTAATAATAGTATGTTTATATTTAGTTTGATGAAAATAATTATTTGCAAAATTATTTCCACTTTTTCAGCATTGGTTATATACCGCTTTTTTCTGTTCATCACCTACTTAAACATTCTGAACAAAAACGTATTATTTTATGTAGTCAAATTTTTTTTGCAGAGTAGTCGTACAAATAGTATATTTGCCGATTCCCATAACAAGATCTATCTTTGAGAAAAAAAACATCAAGTTTGTTATTCGAATATTTTGGAAACTATCAAAAATGTAAAATATTACTGCAATTATTTTAATTGACCAATAATGTTAATATAGTAGGGGAAGGTGGGGGAATCACGGACACGGGGTAATCGCGGACGTGTATGTTTCACTATGTTAGAAAAGAATGAAATATATTTCGAGTGATGCAATCGTGAGTCCATCCCAGACGTAGTGCTGCCCAATAAGTGGTGAAATGACGATGCGCTCGTTTTACAAGGTATGTTTATTTGAAGATTTATCAACAATTTCATATATATTTTTTACTAAAATTGAATAGGTGTATAATATTTTAGGTATTACATATAAATATCACATTATTTTTTATTAACAATGTTTTTAGGGGGTAACCGCGTGCACCACGCTATTCTAACCTCAAATAAAAATATTGGTTTGTGGTATTGTCTGTGTCGGCTAATGGCGGATGATTCTAGGGGGTAATCTTGGCCATCCGCAATTACCCCTACACACCATGTAGTTCATATAGTTTATTTAATATCCTTTTTTTATTATATATCCTTGTTTTCTGCCCTGCATCTATATGAAATTGTAAATGAAATTGTTAAAAGTAAAACACTTTCATTTGGAAAAGCATCTGCTCTTTATTCTATTACGAAAAGTAGTATACACTACTATCTCAAGAAAGAAGTTATACAGGTGACAAAAACTGGCAGAAAGGCTATATTTTCTGAAGAACAAGAAAGAGAACTATATTATGAAATACAATAAATTATTTTATGGTGTAACTATAGAAATGGTTCGAAAAATAGTATTCAAATTTGCCAAAGTGAATAATGTAAAGCACAATTTTGATGAAACATCTTAAATGGCAGGAAAAGACTGATTCATGGATTTAAGAAAAGGAAAGGCACCCTAATATTTCACTACGTAAATCTCAGTCCACTTCTATCAATAGAATTACGGCTTTTAATGAGACAGAAGTGAAAATGTTCTTCAATAATTTGGAAATTTCACAAACCAAACACCACTTTGATGCCAATCGAATGTACAATGTGAACGAGACAGGTATATCCAATGTCCAAAGAAATTCAAGGATTTTAGCACCAAAAGGCCAGAAACAAGTCGGTATGGCAACAAGTGGTAAAAGAGATACTACAACGACAGTTGTCTGCGCTTGTAATGCTTCAGGTAAGTATATTCCTCCATTTTTTATTTTTAAGAGGAAGCGTATGAATGCTCAGTTGTTACGTGGGGGCAATCCTGATATGATAGCAGCCGTAAGTGATTCAGGTTGGATCAACGAGAACTTATTTGTAGATTGGTTACACCACTTCATATCTTTTGCTAATCTAACAGTTGCAAATGAAGGTGATAGAAAGAAAAACAAGTATTATTGCCTAATTTGTGATGAAAAGTATGAAGATCCACCTAATGAAGACTGGATAAAATGCTACAAATGTAATTTATGGACCCACGAAAACTGTACGAGTGGTGGGAGTACATCAAGAGGCTTTGTTTGTAATTTCTGTTCTGATTAGACTATGTTCGTAATTACCCTACAGACCATCCGTAATTACTCCACCTGTTGTGGGGTAATCCTGGACTCCAATGTTTTGTTTTTGTATTAATATTTTACTTTATTTAGGCCATTTATCTACGTTGATTATGAGAACATAAGATTGATTAGTTATAGTTAACTTTTAGTAATAAATAGCATTCATAACCTTAACTGGTTTTGTTTAATTTCAGTTATTCCTTAGGTGTTCGCAATTACCCCACTCCCCCCTAATCTTTTTTCAATTTGGGAAAGGGATCGATTTATAAAAAAACACTTTCCCAGATTTAATTTTTATCCTCAGAACACTAAAAAGTCGAATCGTAACGATGAATGAAATCAACAATGTACAATTACAAGATTAACGAATGTTGTATTAGATATGAAGGACCAGTTATAATACATGAAGAATAAAATTAAAACAAGCTTCTCTAGGGAGGAGAACAGTAAGTAGAAGTTAAATGGCTTGAAAAGTCTCAAAGCAAGCGATTTTTGACAATATACCTATATAAGTATAACAACCAAATATTAACCTAATGGATGTTATTTTAATGGTAGGCATACCCACCTAATTTTAAAAATTAATTCATTACATTTATCTCAACAGTTACTGCTCGAAAAAGAGATTAGAAAATGTCTTTCTTCTTTTGATGTTCGATGATAAAAATAGTTTGCAATCCATTTTTCAAAAAAATCGAAACATGGCGTTTTGAAAATAAATCCTAGTATAGTAATTTCAACAAGATTTAATGAGAGAATATGTACAATTCCTGAACTATCAATTTTCCAGAAAAAAAATTAACGTTTTATAGTACCTACTCATTAACAACTGAACAAAATCAACAGAAACGTACCTCAAATTATTTTTGATATAACCATAGTTGTTTCCGAGATTAAAAAAGATTAATTAATATTTTCAGATTTTCAAAAAAATATTTTTCCGATTCTTTAAATCAGGAGATGAACTCTAACTAAGCATAGATATGTGTTTATATCTTACTGGGTGAACCTTTGTGTCTACTTTTAGGCATACATTATCTAATCATTTCGTAAGTCAAAATTTTAAAGTAGAGAGGATATTATAACTTAAGAACTTGCACTTTTTACCTTCTATATAAATTTTGTTCACCAAGTAAAGTTTTTTAATTTCTGACTTGAATCCTATAAGAAGTCAAAATTTCTTGAAAAAAATTAAAATTATTCAGAGTTATTCAAGTTGGATAACAAAATCATCTATTTTCATCGAAGGTTTGAATATTATGAAATTTTATGAAACATTTTTTAGTTGAGAAAAAAGGTTTTGGCATTCTACTTCCCCATCTTGATACAAAAAATGTGGGAATCTTGCAAAGAAACGAGTCTAGAATGAAAAAAAAAAGTTTAATAATTAGCATTGATAGTATTATTAATTTTGATCAAGAAACGGACCAGTTCAATTGATAATATTCATCATTAATATTTCGAAAAGGTAACCTATTATCAGTACCTATTATCAGCAATTTCAAAAATAGCAAAATATTTTCAAATGAGGATAATCAAACAATCGTTTATAAACAGTAATGCATGCAGAAAATTCTATTCTGGAAGAAAAAACTCTAAAGACCTTCAATACAATAAATGAATTTTGATAATTTCCAAAATATTATGTTAGAACGATATTCGAAAACAGGATATCAGGACTTGAAAAATCATTTTTCCTCATCCCACAGTTCCTTTATCGAACAATCTAAAATACATCTTTGATCTTTCATTCCTTGAGGTTCTGGTCAACCTATCATATAAAGAAACTCGAGAGAGATCATACGTTTTCATAGATAGTTGATACGAGAAGGGGTCAAGAGGATTCGAATACGTCATAATTTATTTTTTATTGAAAGTTCTCAACTTTCTATTTCATTTTATTCGTTTTCTGACTTGTTTATAACTGATGATGCTATCTAAAACTAACTGTTTTTTATCGAAATTGTACATTCAATGTGTAAAAAATCAATAATTAGCATTAGAACTTGACGAGGCTTCTTTTGAAGGTATTGCCTATGATGATGAAACAAATATTTTTTTTTACGATGTAATAGATTTTTGTGGCGACTATTATTGCCATATTCAGTTTTCATGGATATTGAACAATAATATGAATAATTTAATTGAAAGGGGTTAGGTTAGGTTATGTTAGGTTAGGTCCAAAGTGAGTGGGTCTATTCGACCTTCCACCGCAACCCGCAAGGGTTTATTGTGGCTCACACCTATTCACACTCGGCCAAATAAACCCAGCTTCTTAACGAAGCCAATTAGTTTATATGGTGAGAGGTCTTTCAGGTCAGATGGT